TATCAAGGTTTTTGGGATGAAAATGTGTTACTGTTGATTTATTATAAGGGAAATTGACAGTACTGCCAATAAAAGAAACGCTAGTGTTAATCATTTTTAATTTTCAGTCATAATGTTTATAATATATACTGGGTGTTGCTTTTATTTAATACAAGCCCTATAACTTCTTTATTCTTAAAGATAAACCTGTATTTCTTTGAGCAAATTTGTATCATTTTAAAAGATCTTTGTGAGGCCAACCTCAGAGTCTTTATTATCACTTCCCATAGAAAAATCAAAAGCAACCAAGTATTCTAAAATCAATACTTGAAAAATTTTAAATAAAACATTGATGACAATCTAGTAGCTTGAAAAATTGACACTCGTGTTATTTATTTACGTAAATGATGATCTTTTAAAATGATACAAATTTGCTCAAAGAACTATATGTTCATATATATTTAAAAATAAAAAAGTTACAAGAGTTGTATAAAAGAAAAGAAATAGGGGGATGTTTATATAAATATCTCAGAACCCTGACGTGATGAATTTTTTCTGCTGTCAGAAAAAAATTTGAATTTCCCGAACCCAAATCCTTTAGATTCAACTATTTTTGTCTTGTAAACTAGTGTAATTGGAGATCTTCTTAAAACGTTAGTTCTGTCAGCAATACAATAAAGAGGGGTATATTCTCACATTTTCGAAGAAAGTGCGGTAATTGCATCAATAAAAATTTTGTTGTGGCTTCATAAACATATATTGACAACTTAAAAAACACCAAAAGTAGGGATTTATATGAATTAAATACCGACTTAATAAAATCGACCAAGAATATAATAATTAGTCCATTAACAAAATTAATAAATGCATTCAGTATAATATGTTTCCCCAGTGTCTAAAGCAATCTATAATAATTCCTTTATACAAAAAGGGAAATGCAAGTGACAAAAACAACTATCGCCCGATATCTTTATTGCCAGTACTCTCCAAAGTTTTTGAGAAGCTGCTTTTACAACAAATCTTAGTCTACCTTGAAGAGAACAATATCCTCTCTGAACACCAATTTGGTTTCCGAAAAAATTAATCTGCCATGTCTGGAATAATAAACTTCGTCGAACCGATAATAAATTGCTTCGAACAGGGAGTCTACTATCAAGCTCTATTTCTAGACCTAAGCAAAGTTTTCGACACAATTTCACACAAAATATTAATAGATAAATTGAAAATAAGATATAATCTTGATTTCAATAGTATTACGTTGATAAACTCTTATCTACATGATCGCACACAAAGGGTCAACCTAATTGGCATTATTTCACAACCATTAACAGTCCGACATGGGTCCCACAAGGATCCATTCTAGGTCCATGGCTATTTTTGCTGTATATAAATTTTCCCTACAATGGACAAAATTTGATATGCAGACGACACCACAGTGGAGCACAGCGACTCAAATCTAAATAAACTACAAGAACTCACCCGCTTATCATACAAAAGAATTGAGGAATGGATGGAGGCAAATAAACTGCATCTCAATAAAGACAAAACCGTGGAAATGATTTTTTCTCTCAAACAAACAACAAACACAGATATAGTAGAATTCAGAAAATTTTTGGGGGTCCATATTGATAGTACTCTGTCCTGGCACCAGCAAATTGATGATCTATGCATGAAATTATGTAAAAACATCTATTTGCTACGTAATCTAACGCTCTGTGTATCCATAGATGTCCTAAAAATAGCGTATTTCGCGACCTTCCAATCACATGTGGAATATTCGATAAACATTTAGGGCCATACAGGACTATCAGCGAAGGGCAATCAGAATTATGTCAAACCTGAGATATCGTGACGACTGTAAAGAACATTTTAAATTATTGAATCTCCTGATTATAATACCCTGTCTGTTCCTCTAGAAATGCGTAGACTATTTTGTAAAAAATTGTAAGAAATGTAGAACATTAAATTCCTATCACAACTACTCCACAAGAGGAAATGACATTTGTCTACGTGGTTTTAGACTTACCAGATCTAGATTGGGCTTTAATTACTATTGCGTTAAATTTTACAGTGTAATACCAAACAATATCAGGAATCTTAGCCCTAAGTTGTGTTTAAAAAGTCTTAAAACACATCTAATTGAAAATGCCTTTTATAATATAGATGAAAAAACAAAGTTATAAATGAAGTAAATGTCTATTTTTAAAATATTTGTTATATTTTAGCACGAGTAAAAATCTTATCTCTAAAAAGAAAAAAAAAAAACGAAGGGCCAAGTTTGGAATCGAACGCGCGACGTCGGATCCGCATTCCTGATTCGTAACCGCTATACCACCACCAGGATGCCTTACGCTAATGAAACTGTTATTATAGCGTGCATTATGTTTTTGCAAAAATTTGGATGGTTAGGGAAAAACTCAAAGTGCAGCACCCATATTGTTGTATAACATTAAATCAAATAATTAATCATAGAATTCTTTGAAAGACGTCATCAAATTGTTAGTGGGGATGAATATCAAAATTTTGGTTAGCATTTAACCCCTACATGATATTTCCTATATACATACAAAATTTGACAACAATCGGTCCAGCAGTTCCGGAGATTACGTGTCTAACAAGATGGATACAGACACCAGACAGACAGACGGACGGAAATGGGAGACTATTTTTTTTCGTACTCTAGTGGTCATGAAACGTCGAGAAAGTAATAAAAGTGGCCATTCGCTCGATGGATTCGATTACGATTACGATATTCTTGAAAATTGTTAAATTTAAGCGAAACTTCAGATTTTTACTTCCCGAGCGTAAGCAAAGGAAGTATTGTAATCGAGTCCGTCGGCCGACTCTCTACTTTTACGTTTTCTCGATCTTTCATGACCCCTAGAAGACGAAGAAATAGGTCTCCCATTTCCGTCTGTCTGTCCGTCTGTCCGTCTGTCCGTCCGTCTGTCCGTCTGTCCGTCTGTCCGTCTGTCCGTCCGTCTGTCCGTCTATCCGTCCGTCTGTCCGTCTGTTGTCCCGGATTTTTATTAGACAGATAATCTCCGAAAGTACTCGACCGATTGTTGTGAAATTTTGTACTTATATTAAGAATATCATGTAGATGGTAAAACGCTAACCAAAATTTGTCTAATCATCCCCACCACTAATGCGATGACGTCACTTCAAAATTGTACATAGTAAATGGGTTTTCAATTGTATAAAATAACATAGTCCTACACATGTAGTTTACAACTCCGAATCGACTTTTCACCCGAAACGTCCAGATTTTTGGAAAAAAAATCAAAATTATAAAACAACATTTTGAAATTTAATTTTTAATCTGCTAACCAGAATGCTTTGAAATGTTGCAGATGTTTTAAGGCTATAAAGAGCATCATAAATCTTTAGTCAAAAAATATTTGTTTATCCCCTCCAAAAACTTGATGACGTCAGCTCAAAAGTTTGTGGAATAAATCATATCTAAAATGTACAAAATATGATGAGTCTGTACTTGTGATCTATCACTCCATTCATATTTTTTGGATTTGCATATACAGGGTGACTCAAAAAAATTAATGAATGCGTAAATTTATTTTACTGATTTACTCAGAAACTACAAAACCGAATGCTTTGAAATCTTGCAGATGTTTTAAGGTTCTAAAGAGCATAATAAATGTTTAGTCAAAATATATTTGCTTATCCCCTCCAAAAAATTGATGACGTCAGCTCGAAAGTTTGCCGAATAAATCCTATCTAAACTGTAAAAATATGATGAGTCTGTATTTGTAATTTATCACTCCATTCATATTTTTTGGATTTGCATATACAGGGTGACTCAAAAAAATTAATGAATGCGTAAATATATTTTATTGATTTAATCAGGAACTACAAAACCGAATGCTCTGAAATCTTGCAGATGTTTTAAGGTCATAAAGAGCATAATAAATGTCTAGTCAAAATATATTTGCTTATCCCCTCCAAAAACTTGATGACGTCAGCTCGAAAGTTTGCCGAATAAATCATATCTAAAATGTACAAAATATGATGAGTCTGTACTTGTCATTTATCACTCCATTTATATTTTTTGGATTTGCATATACAGAGTGACTCAAAAAAATTAATGAATGCGTAAATATATTTTATTGATTTAATCAGGAACTACAAAACCGAATTCTTTGAAATCCACTGCGAAAAAAAAACATAATAGGCATGCAGTCGTCACGTTTCCGACAGCGAGGGAAGTACTGTCTAAACTCTTTAGACCAATTTTTTCTCAAGTTTTCTATCTCTAAATATTTAAAAACACAAAGTCGTAACATAACATAGTTAATTTTTGCATTAATATTTTGGCCACGAATTTCATAGCATTGTCAAAAATAACTGAAATACCTATTCGCACTCTATATTATTGTTGAAGTAATTTCAATACACCAGTGTTCTTTGACCATTGGATATAGTAGAACAAATAACAACGCTTGACAATGTTAAGTTTCTGTATTAATTTAATTTTTAAGTGTTTGAATTCCATATATTTACACCGCGTATTTATTTTCATAACACTTATCAGTCCATCAGAGAGGAAATTTTTACAATGGTTATAAAGTGGTATCTTTCAGAAACGTGTATTGATATTATTTAAACATGTAAAAATTTTGCTTACATTAACAACAGTAATATTTTTAAAGTAAACATCACTGGCACCTAAACTCATTCAATTCATCGGTAACTCTTCGAAGTAGGTGTATTGTAAGCGAAATTTACCTGACTAATATAGTCATGACCGACACCTTACTTTCAAAAATAATAATAGTAATATCTAAGGATAACAATATTATGCAACTAGTATATTTTAGATAAATCTATTTTTTCTTCACCTTGGTCAGGCATAATTTCATTTAAATGCTTGACAGAAAAGCAATAATTAAAAAATGAGACACTTCCGCTATTTTCAATTTAAAACAGTCCACATCTCGAGGGGCTCGTCCCTATCCGAAGAATTTCTTCCGACATTAATTAACGTCTATTTCTTTTCATTCCAGGTCGGAGACCGTCTCTTCATCGGTTCACCAGGCAGTTGGTATTGGCAAGGTAAAACTTCCTACATTTCGCTAAAAGTCTAAATGTGCAGTTCTCTCTGCTTTTATTGTTTTACAGGCTTCTAGTTGAACTAGCGCGCCAAAGTTTTAGTTTTTAAATGTACAAAACCTCAGAAATGAAACTGTTTACATTTCGACATATTGGTGTGTTTCAGGACAAATGTATTCCATTGATGCTCATGCTACGTTTGAATATAAACCTCCGTTGTTCTCTGCAACATACGGCCATGAAGGTATTGAAAGCATAAAACATTAAAACAAAACAACAAACTATACAAAAACCAAGCTGCGACATACACTTAATCTCTCACAACCAATAACAAAATTAATAGTAGCGAGTCGGTGCAGGAAAGTGAGAGGCGCTCTACTAATTAAGCATAATCCAAATTAATTTCAATTAATTCACGTAACGAATATTATAACTGTCTTAACATTAATCGAAGATTATTACGAAATAATCGTCGAGAGCACATGGTGCAGTTGCATTAACAAAATGAATCAGAGGAAACATATCATGCATCATCATTTTCGGGGGTGATAACGCATCATCTTCGCCACTGGGGAAATATTAATTTGTTTTTCAGGTACGAAGCAGTGCGAGGAGTGGGCTTCCGTGACAGCTTCAGTAACATATTAATAATAATAGTTTTAATAATTTTGATTACATTGTGTAAGAAACGTGGATGTTTGGCGCTTTTGTTCTTGTATGTGGCTTTTCGATAATATTAAACAATTACTGATGAGGATATACAAATATTTAACTCTAGTTTTGATGTTGTCTTTGATCTTCTTTTTTCCAAACACTTTACTTCTATTTTAGAAATTTATATTTGTATATTTTTCTGTTCTTGTTGATTTCTTTTCTATTGTTGAAACCGCTTCTTAGCCTTTTAGATTTTCAAATATTCTTACTTCTTATTAAACCCACACATTCAATTTTTTTCATCTCACCTTTTTCACTTTTAACTAAATGTTTTCTTCATTTTTTTCTTTTACTTATTTATTATTAGTAAGATCTATTTTCTTACTACTTCTTCGAGTTGTTATACAGGGTGTTAGGGAATGGTCTGGACAAACTTTCAGAGCAGATTTTTGGCAAAAAATGTTCTCAAAAGTTTTTATACCATTTTTTACAGAAGTGTGTAGTTTTCTCAAAAAATGGTTTTGAAAATAGAGGTCCTACTGTTTTGGTACCGCAAAATAACGGATACGTTGTATGTACTTCCGTTGCGTTGCGCATAACCGTTGCGTTGCGTGTTACATTGACAATTTAAAAGTAAAAAATGAAGCATTAAATTTCCCGCTCGTCAACAAAACAGCAAATTAATGAATTCTAAAGTTGCCAGAATGTTTTAAGATTTTCTTTATGATGTTGATTACGAAAAAAACGTAACTTTATAAAAGTAAAATTGGCAACACTGCATGCACCTAATGTGTGGATACCTCCGACTTACCTTTTATTTTTTTTTAGGATAATAATCACAACCACCAGTAGTCATTAATCGTTGTGCATTATTATTAATAAAACAAGCTGTTATTTTTGATTAATAAATAAATCAAATAAACATTTAATAAGACATTTATAAATTATAAACAAAGATAAAATCAACACAAGAAAAATTCATTAAAGCATAACCAACTAAACACTAGAGAAGATGTTCAAAATTCCTGCCTTGTGCACATAAGTAAGCTCATAATGTTTCCAAATTTTGATTTTTTGTAAAAATTGATCATCAGTACTTGCTACGATAGAACTGACTTTGGCAAATGACATGGCCCCTAAAAAACAGAGGGTGGGTGGGCGGGGCTAGTACCTGCTAATTTATTTTGGCAAATGAGATCCCTCTAAAAAAGTAGAGGGCGGGTGGGCGGGGTTAGTACCTGCTTAAATAAGATCGATTTTACCAAATGACACACCGGCCAAGAAAATAAAGGGTGATGATTTTATACTGAACAGAAACAAAATTAGTGTGTAGTTAGAATGAGAAGAGGGTGTATAGGCGGTGCTAGTAGAGTAGAACCTCGATAATCCAAATTAATTGGGGAAAAGGTGTGTTCGGATTAGCGATTTGTTCGGATCAGGGAATTTCCCAAAAATCTGAAAGGGAATTGAATAACAACTGAAAATAAACGTCAAGAAATAAACCTTATTTTTTTGAAACAGAAATAAAGTATTCTTAAGCAACAATGGATAATAGATACATTCGAAAAAATATTACTACGTGACCATAAAAACGCTATCTTTTTCGTCGGGATCTATATCCCTGAATTTTTTCAGAATTTTTAGATGACTTTTTCAAAAATGAAATTTTCCATTATGTATTTGTAATTTCGATCCATCCTCGACGATTTTCGAAATTTAACTAAATATATTTTCTTGTAGATTTTGGGCCGCAGAAGTCACTTCTGCCTTCATTTCTTCCAGAATCGTCCATTGAAATATCGCAATTTTTAAAATTTTCGAAAAATTCGATTTGCACACCGAATTTTCCGAAAATATTGCTCCGTTACCATCAACACGCTATATTATCGGAACCAGCATGTTGGGATCTAGTTCCTGAATTTTTTCAAATTTTTTAGATAACTTTTTTAAACGTGAAATTCTCTTCAAATTTCGGCCAATTTTTGACATTTTCGAAACTTAACTAAATACATTTTCTTGTAGATTTCGAGCTCTAGAACTCACTTCGGGCCTCGTTTCTTTGATAACTGCAACCGTTTTTCTAGAATCGTCTGTTCAAATATCGAAATTTTTAGAAATTTTAATAAATTCGCATTTCGTATCGATTCTTTCGAAAATTTTGCTCCGTGACCATAAACTCGCTATATTTTTGGAATCAGCACGTCGGGATATAAATTCCTGAATTTTTTCAGAATTTTTAGACAACCATTTCAAAAATGAAATATTCCACTATACATATATTCGTATTAGGCAAATTTCGACCCATTTTCAACGATTTTCGAAATTTAACTAAATACTTTTTCTTGTAGATTTCAGGCCCCCGAAGTCACTTCCGGCTTCATTTCTTCAATAACTTCCAGCTTTTTTCCAGAATTTAAAAATTTCAAAAAATTCAATACAACACGTGCAGAAAGAAGATCTTGCATCATTTTTGCAAGTAGGTGCATGTTTTCTAGTTCAGTTCGGATTAAAGAAGCATCGAATTCAACTAGCCTCTCTGGATTACTGGATGTTCGGATAATCGTGGGTTCGGATTATAAAGATTATACTCCACTTGCTAAGATAAGACTGATTTTGGCAAATGACATACCTTCTAAGAAAATAGAGGGCAAGGGGGCGGGGCCAGTACCTAAGAGAAGAGAGGGCGGATGGGTGATACTAGTACCTGTTAAGACTGATTTTGGCAAATGACATATTCTCTAAGAAAATAGAGGGTAATAGTAGCTGCCAAAATAAGACTGATTTTGGCAAATGAGATCCCTCTAAGACAATAGAGGACGGGTGGGCGGGGTTAGTACCTGCTAAAATAAGATCGATTCTGGCAAATAATATACCCGCTAAGAAAATAGAGGAAGGGTGGGTGGGCGGGGCTAGTACTTGTTAAGATAAGAGTGATTTTGCCAAATGAGATACCCTCTAAGAAAAGAGAGGGCGGGTGGGTGGGGCTAGAACTTGCTAAGATAAGACTGATTTTAGCAAATGATGTATCCTGTAAGAATTGTTAAAAGAATAGACACTAAAGGCTCCAAAGCACTTTCAAATTCTTTCCAAACAGGAATGTCTAAAACCTCAAGATTGTTTTAAATTTAAAAAAAAAAACAGGGCCCCAAAATTAACTCAACAACATGTCAGATCCGAATTTTCCAAAAATAGAACACCAAAGTCCCCCAAAATTGTTTTAAATAATTTACAAAAAAAATCTCCATGGGTTTCCAAAATAATACACCATGGGTACCCAAGAGTCTCCCGAATTAAAAAAAAAACACTGCGGCACTCAAAACTTTCAAACTCGTAAAAAATAAAACACTAAAACTCAAAAAACATTTTTCTCCAGCCGTCTTAAAACAATGCACTTTTTATGACAATTTCAACACTAAAAATAGACGTTTTCCGACGATCGTTTATTAATGTGAAAATTACGAACAAATTTCGTGTTCAAAATTGATCAATAATGAGTCTATTATTCAACGATTAAACTAAAGTCGACAGAAATGTCGATGTATTGTTGGTTCCATATCAATCTAATAAAGTTTGTTATTTCAATTTCAAAGTTTTTTAAAATAAACTCGACAGAAATGTCAAGGTATTGTTGGTTGCATACCAGTTTAATAAAATGTCAAAGCAAACTTAGACATTTCAAGTATATTTGGTTGCATAACAAATGTTAAAAATATTATTCAAATTGCTGTTTTCGAAAATTACGATCGTCGAAAAAATATTGTTATCAACACGTGGGGTAATGGCGATTAACCATATCGCCTATATATAAATTGCTCCATCGTTAATCGCTGTCATTACCTAACTAATTGAATAAATAACTATTTTGTAACTAGGAAAAAAAACTTGCGTTACTAAGGCAACAACTTTTAATCCTAGAATTTAAAAGTTTTTTAAATGCTACGATTAAAAACTAATAATGAATCTCAAACTACAGCTTTTCGTCAATTTTGAAAATATTAATAATGTCGTCTTTAATATTTTATAATTTTATTAATAATAATTAAACATATTACATAATTTCTAAAATTTAAAATTGATATTAAATATAAAATTAAAACATCTTTCAGAAAATTGGATTAACGATTTGCCGTCACTATTATCCATTGTAATAGCAGTGTTAATAATGTTTGTCAATGTTGCTGTTATTTCATTGTCAGTTACTATCACTATTTGTGATTTCTTCAACATTCATTATTGGCGAAAAATCAATCAATTTTTGATACTTTTTGAAAATCAATGACACAACGTAAATAAAAAATAGGTAATCATGACTACCTAGATACCAGAATACTGATTCCATTTTCAATACTTTTTTTTTAATTTAATTATTTCCTATTTTTGTGTTACATTAATGGCTGGAGAAAAATTAGTTTCATTCGGATTAAAAGTGGGTTTTTTGACTCGCAAAATTTTGTATTCGCTCGGCTCCCCTTCGCTACGCCCCGCAAATTCAAAATTTTGTTCACCAAAAAACACCATTTTTAATCCTAATAAAACAAAATACTATTTTTATTCGTGCAAGATAGGCGTATTTTGTGTAATCTAAACCAATACACAACGAACACAACCGTGATTGCTTCATAATTCGAAGAAAATTCGATGTAAGTAACTCAACATTTTTTTATTGTTAAAATCCGTAGTAAAAAATAAACAGGATCTACTAAATAAACTTCAATAACCATGTTTACTGTAGGTCCCTTCGTTTCTTACTTTCTTCAAAGGCATTCATATGTTTCAGTGTTTCCAAGCAGAACTAAAAATATTTACGCAAGTCACTTATTAAATATTAGACTATCAAAGTTTTAGAAGATTTTGATAAAATTTACAACTGATTAAAATTACTGCTACTTATTTTCACTTTATTTACTTTAAAGGATTAAAACAATAAAAAGAATTATGAAATTCTTCTTAATTATTAAGCAACTATAATGTTGGTTGCCCAACTAAGAATATATGAAATCTCTTAAGGGTTTTTTTCATTACTTATACTCATCTTTTTAAAGAAAAATATCTATAAGTAGAGTTATGCAGTTTCATGTTGTGAAAGTTATAAAAGCCCTAAAATTCAATTTATAAAATGGTGGATGCGCCAGCAATACCTACATCTACCTACTTTAACTTCTAATTATTGTCGACGTTGTAAGTACTACCAACGAGGGAAAAATACAAAAGTAGTCCCGAAATTGTGTATTTGAGATCCTTCCTTATTTTCTAATTTTTTTCGTTCGAGTTTATGTTTACAACTTGACATTTCACTGATGTTATAGGCAACCATGAATACACCAATGTTTCAAGAAGTTATCTGACGTCACCCAACATACAGACCAAAAATCACATCACTCTTCATTTTTAGTAAAATTAAAATACGATTATGTCTAGCTTATAATCGCCCATTTAGAACGATATATTCTTCAAAGAAAATAACAAAAAGTAGCCTTGGTGACTTCATCTTCGATTTTTTCGAAATCAATCGCACAATACAATTAATGAACACTTACTTAACAGTATAACATTGCACATTTTAAATTACTGATGAATGTTCAACAAAACTGCACACAAATCTTTAGATTTATTAAAAAAACGTACAACCGAAGTGTCATCATGACACGTCTGTTCCCGCTAAAATGGGTAAGACAACCACAGCACAACTAACATGGATTAACTAGTATGGAAAGAAATATTGTCTTTGCCAATTCTATTGAAACACCACCTGTTGATTTTGCTTAAAATTTAGCAATTGGTAACAGCTTTCGGTTGATTGACAACGGTTTTTAATTAGAAAATTGTCTGAATATGAACGTTGCCAAATTTACGATTAACAAGTGGTGTTTCAATAGAAATGTCAAAGACTATAACAACATCGTAAGGGCCGCATTAATGGATATTTTATATTTTTTAATAATTAAGCAGAAGATACTTTTAGGGAAACTCATATTTTTGCTATATTTAATCAATTGAAAATGAGTGGTAAATATGTGAATTTAAACAATTAGTTCTTACCCCATGAGTGGTCTTAATCAAATTCAAAATTTAATTGCCATCTTAATTTTAAACTTTACACTTATCTATATGTTTTTCAACAGACCCCCTCGGTTCATACAAAGAAGAAAAAATAGTTTTAACTCTAAATCGAAAGGGCGTATATTTTGATTTAGATTTTAATAGGGCTTGGTGCCTCAAAAATTAAAAAAAATTGAAAACTTTTCTAAAATTTTATTATATTTACCTAAATAATAATCTTTTCTTTTTCCTTCTTCTATTATTTTTGGTTCATATTTTGATTAATTTTATTTATTGTTATCGACTTTTAATTAACGCAGATCTCAGAGTCTCATATCTCTCTCTTTCTATATATAATCTCATGGTGTATTTGTGGTACTATTTTTTCCCTCAAACTTCTGTTGGCGACACATAATCTCCGAAACTACTGGGCTGATCATAGATGGTTAACTAAAATTTGTTCGTACATCCCTGCCAACAATTTGACGACGTCATCTCAAAATTTTGCCAAGTAAATCCTATTTTCTTGGTGTGCTAACAGTTACTTTTATCACAAACATATATGATTTAAATCAGCAGTAAAGCCGCTATGGAGCTAGCTCTCCCATTATCAGTCCTTTTTTTCTCATATTTTGACAAAAATCTGGAGTAAGCAATCTTTTTTTGTATTTCTTTGTTTCCGTATTTTTAATCTCTGAATGTTGTCTTATGTTCTACAACAAAATATTTATTTCGTATATAGCGTGAAATTTAATTCTTCTTTATACACGAAATTGCTCTCTTTTGTTAGCACGCTTATCCTAAAATTTCAACACATCTTCACCATTGCACAGTGCCACCTCGAAACGTAGAAAAACATCTTACATCTAAAAAAAGTTGTAAAATTATCGTTTTTATTTTTCATGAACAACCACCACATCGTACCACGCTTATTCGATTACACGCAAATTCAAATCAATAGCTCGCTAAGATCAAAAATCCACGTTTCTTAATCACCATTAACAGACAAGGCATCATCGGTGGTACCAGCGTGTAAACATTCAAAACAGCATTGAGGTGACGGTAATTAAGTTAACCCATCAAGGTAAACATTAATCTCGACACCAAATAAACCATTAACTCATCCCCACATCACTAACTCCACTTTATGCAACCCACGAACTTGCTTCCAGGCCAAGTCCATCAACAAAGTCTGGAAACGCGACCGGCGGTCTTCTCCACCACAGAAGGTACCGAGCGGGACGACGACTCCTACATGGGGTACTCAACCATCACGGGCGATTTCCTCGGCAACGGCCAAGAAGGAATCGCCGTGGGTATGCCCAGAGGTAATGACCTCAAGGGAAAAGTGCTGTTGTTCACGTGGAATTTGACCAACTTTTTGCATCATTTTACGAGCGACCAGATTGGGTCGTACTATGGGTACGCGTTGGCAGCTTCGGACGTCGATGGGGACGGCAAACTAGATTTGATCGTGGGGTCTCCCATGTACACCGTTCAGAATAACAAAGACAAGTATGACGTGGGGCGGGTGTATGTCATCTACCATCAGAGTGAGAAGGTGAGGAGTGAGGATTTCGGGTGGTGGAAAAAGTAATGGGTTGGTTGTAGGGTAAATTTATGGCTAATTATATCATCGACGGGTTTAATTCAAAATCAAGGTTTGGGCAAGCGCTGGCGTCGTTAGGGGATATTAACCAGGATGGATTTGGAGGTGAGTCTTCTTTATGAAAAAATTGGAGTAATTTTGACAATTTTTGTACTTCCAGATTTCGCTGTGGGTGCCCCTTACGACGGTAAGGAAAATCGCGGCGCAGTTTACATCTACCACGGCTCCAGTAAAGGAGTCCGCAAGAAGTTCTCTCAAGTAATATTTGCGGAAGATGTGATTCCGTTACCAACAGGTGCCCTAACTACGTTCGGTTTTTCAATAACTGGAGGCTTAGACTTAGATGGAAACCAGTACCCAGACATGGCAGTAGGCGCTTATTTATCTAACAAGGCTTTCTTCTTTAGGTTAGTACCTTAGAACTACAGAGCACTCCAGTTTTCATTAACTCTTTTTTAGATCACGTCCAGTTATCAAAGTCGAAGCGTCTGTTAAGTTTTTAACGAAAACAGTAAACATCGTAAATACCAACCACGTTCTAAGAAGCGATGGGACCGCAGCTACGAAAACTCAAATTCAGTTCTGCAGCAAGTACTACGGGAAAGGAATTCCCAGTTCTTTAAGTACGTTGACATAGCTTTTGCATGTTTGCTTATTGTCAAAATATCGATGTTATAGAACTAGGAGTTGAATATATTTTGGACACAAAAAAATTAATTAATCCAAGAATGGGTTTTGTCGATGATGAAAATAAAAACAGGAAAAATGCGACGATCACACTCCAGCATAACGAACAAGTTAAGTGTGCTTCACCCATCGATGTGTACGTAAGAGTGAGTTTATTAATAATGTAAAATGGTACTACAATCTTATTGATTCGTATTTCTTTAGAGTGATATCCGGGATAAACTGACAGCCTTGGTCGTAGAAGCAAAGTACTGGTTACAAGATGATGCCGACTTGTCTCCTGCCTACCTTCAACAACTTCCTCGAAATCCCAGATCAGCTTTAGTACCTGTTCTTGATTTAAATTCACCTCCGTCCAAGAAGGACTCTATCAGTATCCAAAAGAATTGCGGCGACGATAATGTCTGTATACCTAATTTGGACGTGAGCGTTGAACCGTAAGTACAGCGCTTTAGCCAGATGCCAAACTAACTTCAGTTTTTCCAGGAGCGTCCAAGAGTATTACCTTGATTCCGGTAAAAAATTTTTCTTGGACATTACTGTTTCGAATAGTGGAGAAGATGCTTTTGAGACAACTTTAGAAGTTAAATACCCTGATGGGTTCTATTACTCAACTAGCTCGGACGTTCAAGTGGTCTCCCATGTACTGTGCAGCTCTTATGAAAATAACACTATCAAATGTGATATCGGAAATCCAGTACCTTTCAACAAGGTTGTCCATTTCAAGGTATTTTTCCAGCCTGATTATTCTAAAGAGTTCCCTGCCAAACTCCACTTTGATGTGCTTGTGAATAGTACCAATGAAGAATTGGAAGAAACCAGAGCAAATAATAAACGAAGAGTTTCCATTTCCATTCTTTATGACGTCATACAAGATATTCGTGGGTAAGTTGCGTCCACTCTCTGTGTTGGTGGGTTTTATTTATATTATTTCGTCCAGATGGTCAATACCCGGTGAAGTATTATTCAGCCCAGCTTCGACACTTTATGCAGATGACATTTCTAATCAAACATCTCGCACGCCTTCCAAGGACCGACTTTCTGAAGATGTTATCGGTCCTCAAGTTATACACGTCTATGAACTGAAGAACGGTGGCAAAACGGTTATTAAATCTACGGAGATATTTTTCGTATGGCCTGCAACGACATTAACAGGTAACTACTTATTATTCAGACGTAGCCATCTAGTCTGTAGTCTACTAAGTTAATATAGATATGCACTGAAATTTTGCATTTGAAGTTTCTTTTATAGATCCTGTGGCGGCACAATAACACGTCGGTAAGCAGAGAAAGATAAGTGGTCTTGTGGTCTAGTGGTTAGGATACTTGCCCGGAGAGCGAGAGGCGTGAGGTTCGAATCCCACCAAGGCACAACATTTTTCTCTGCTTACCTACAGATACGTTTGCATAAATCAGTACTAAATTCTTGTTGCCGACTTTTCAAAGGCAAGCTATTAATGTATCATTTAGAGGTAGTTGGACTAGTTGTGACTGTTCTAACTTCCAGACTTCATAAAACAGAGTAGTAAAATTCATTGACGATATGTTGTGTAATTAAAAAAAATACTGGATGGTATGTGATACAAAAATAAATAGTCTAAAGTTAAAAGTCAAAATTTTATTCTATTGACTTTTAGGCGAAGACTTCCTCTACTTGGTTGATCCTCCAGAATTTTCTTTTGCGAAAAATTTAAATCTGAAATGTGGTCCCATCCCTGCCAATTACAGAGATTTTGAGGTAAAGTGGCAACCATCAAACTTTGAATAACTAATACTTAACAATACCCTCTGTAGTTGTCGCCACGAAGGAAAAGCATCTGGGAATTGTACGACATCAACGTTCAAGTAGATACCTCATCCGAAAAATCAACGTCAACATCATCGAAAATCGGAGCTACAATCGGCGGAAAGATTGTCAAAGGCGACGAAACCTTAAATAAAGCTGTTGAAACCTCAGGAGACAGTTCTTCAGTGATGGATGTAAGACATCAAAACAAAACCCAAGGGCAGACCATAGCTTGGCAAGACTCTACAAGAGTACAGATTTTCGAAGCCGGTTCAGACACCTCGCGAAAGCTGGGAAGCGGCAATTTCAAACATTTACAATTCGGAGGAAAAGATTACGTTTATCGTTGCTTCAGAACTGTAAATGGTCAAGAGCGAGAGGTTGATTGTGGAGCAGACTTTTCTTTGACGAAGAGCGCACCTGGATTATTACAACTTGCTAGCGCGCAGTACCAAGAAGAAGGTAACATTCAGTATTGGTGTCTAGATCAAGACAGTGCTGGTAACTGGAAAAAAGTTGGCTGCCAAGGGGTACCGAAAGTACCTCTGATCACACAAACAAAGGATGAAGGAGCGACAACAGTTCAAATCTTTAACGGAAATCAAATGTTTACTAATCGATTAGAAGAAGGAAAGTACAAGCACCAGAAAGTAGGCACCGGCGACTTCGTCTACCGTTGTTTCCGTAGAAGGAATGGCCGCGAAGAAGAAATAGAGTGCGGCAAAAATTTTTCCTTTTCGTCTGTGGATATTCCATGGGTGTTGGAGCATTCGGGGGTGCAACAAGAAGGTGATATTCGATACGCTTGCCTAGAACCGGATTCTCAAGGAAAGTTGCATCGTACTGACTGCCAAAATGTTCCAAAGATTCGTTTGAAAACAGAAATTATTAGAACTTCGTGGGGACAGAACGATACCCATTATTGGAATGACACTGGGACGTATTACGTTGGTCCAAAAATGGCGTTCACAAAGATTCAAGTTTTCCAAGGCGGTGAAGACATCAGACAGCAACTGGAAGGCGGTATATACCGTCACCAGTACATCGATGGCAGAGACTTCATCTACCGTTGCTTCCTTAGTGTAAACGGACGAGAACAGGAAATCGATTGCGGAGAAAACTTCTCTTTAGCCCGATTAAATATCATCGGGTTGTTGGAGAAAACTGGTGTGCAACAAGATGAACGAATACGATTTACGTGTCTAGAACCGGACGGTAATGGAAATTTAAGATATGTTGCGTGTGGGACGGTTCCCGCAATCCGAATTAGACCACTAGTTATAACTAGTTCTTGGGAGTCGAACGGTACACATTACTGGAACAATTCGGGAGTGTATACACTTCCTCAAACATATAGTTTTGAAACAGTTCAAGTTTTGTTAGGAGGTGGAAACATAATGTCTCAAATTACTGGCAACTACCGACTTGAAAATGTAGCTGGTCAAGAATTTCTCTGCCGTTGTTTCAAGAGTTCACAACAAGTCGACTGTGGCTCAAACTTTTCTTTAGCGGGTATAAACGTAATTGTATTAATGCGAAGAGTGGGAATTCAAACAGAAGGACCTATTCGATACTTTTGTTTGAGGACGGACAGTGCTGGGAACTGGATGGGTACCGACTGTGGACATCTTCCCAAAATCCAGTTGGTCCAACAAAGACAAACTTACCAGACTCAACAACAAATTCTTCGTCGCTGTCTTAAACTTGAAAATGGACAGTGGAGTGAGGTCGACTGTCGATCTGACACTAGGTTCCAAAGCGGACGAGGTGAAAACACCTTTGTGGAACAGTGTTTCCAGACAATTAACGGAAGGAGAGAATCCATAAACTGCAGTGAAGTACCAGCAGGTGCCAAATTCACGGATGTATACAACCAACAATCACAAAGTCGGGGTTCCGATTACTATTCTGGTAATACAGATTATGGTCAACAATCTCGAACAAATACGCATCAGCAACAGGGTGGTAGTCAATATGGTTCACAAGTTTATGGAAGAGACTACAATTACAACGCAGCTGGTGACAATGATCGCAGAAATAATCATTCTGTTAGTTACAATGAAAACAACTACGAAGAGATTTATGACGACGACTACGACAATGGCAAATCCATCACAGGCTATATAGATCCTCACGCGGCTTCCTCTCGAGAACAACAACAAGGTCGAAGAGACCCAAAAACATACGGAACATACAGCGAATCTAGAAACCAAGGTCTAGGTTTGGACAACTCTGGGGTAGGTGGAGCCGCTCGTGGAAGTGGCTTCACCACTGGAGTTTTAGACTTAGGTACTCTGGGGGGCAGTCAGAACAACAATGGAGCAAGAGTCAGCGAAAGTCATTGGTCGGAAACGCGACAAATCTCTCCTGTTTATAACAATATCGGAGATAATGTACCTACTGCTGCCCCATCAGGCAAAAAATGGAATCATGGAAGAAGAAAAAGACAGATTGTGGGTGACAATCATCCGTCTATCCAAAAAATCAAAGAAAAATATCCTTGCCACAACTTAGGTTGTGTGTATATGAGGTGCACCGTCGAGAATTTGGAACACGGAAAGCCTTTAACTATTGCACTGAGAGGCAGACTCAATGCAAAAGTTCTAAGAAACGTACGTGTTGTATTTTAACAATTAAATTATTAGTAACGCTTTACTTACAGATGAAACTAGACAACGCTATGCAATTTTCTTCAATGATGTTGGCAAGAGTGCAAAGAGTGCCACGCTTAATGTCAGTTGACGATAGTAAGATAGAAATGCAAGAAGTTGAAACTGTAGTTAAAACACCAGAAGAAATAAAGTCTGAAACTGTGCCTCTCTGGGTTGTCGTGTTGTCAGCCGTTGCCGGAACTATAATACTGCTACTTCTCATTTTCCTTCTATATAAAGTGAGTACAGTCGTCTATAAAGTAGCTAATAAGTATTCTGATAATTTACTTTTTCTAGCTCGGTTTCTTCAAGAGAAATCGTCCTTCGAGTGCCCCTGAAAGGCAGCCTCTTAACCGTAACGGTTATCATCACGGTGACGAAGCTCTGTGATTTTTCGGTAGCTACACTACTGCCTAAAAAACCAAAAGACTTTTGTTTAACTTATTGTCAATGTGTGAATGTGTAGTTGAATATGTTTTCGACAGAATTGCCATCATATGTTTAAGTGACTTACAGACTAATTTACAAGGTTAATACTTACTAAACCGTGCCTTATTCACTAGTGCCACGCCATACTTTGCTGTCGAGCATCGTATCTGTTTGTTATGATAGAATTAATTTAGTCGTATGAAGCAATCAATTCGTACTTAGTTACAATTTGTTGTTTTGCCACTAATTGGAATTAAAAATGAAACGCAGTTTGTTTGTTGACGTCGAAATTTGTACATTATAGTTTGGAACTGTAAATAAAACTATTATTATGTTATTGTTCTGATTAAATCCCTTTACAGCAACGAAAATACATAGAATTTTCCCCAGTTTTTAGCTACAAGGTATACCCAGCCTTGTGTTGCAAGGCATAACTGACCGCACTATCCACTTCTTCACAAGTTACCAGACCGAAAGATAAGCGCAACCCACGAAGAAGTTCATCTCCTTCCTTGTTGTTTATTTTTTATTGAAAATGCTATGAGGAGACAAATCAAAAAAATGCTGGCGAGATCCCCTTTCACGGTGAAATTTGAAATTTGTACTCCCGAAATTCCGATGATGATTAAATGAACTTCTGAAATTGCAAAGCTAACAAATTCTATTATGCCACACTATATATTTTTAAACAAGAAATAATTTACATGATGTTAAATTATACCACACTCTGGTCTCGGAAACGTTACGCTCTCGAGGGGAGCCGGCAAGAATAAATGTTGGAAATCAAGCCGCAAAAAATGTATTAAACCTACAAGAGAATAATTAAACCTAAAACCAGCTATTAAACCTGTAAAAAGTATTAAAACCCTTCCGTTTTTCGAGTTCACGAGGGTACGAACTTAACAGCTAATTTTCAAGGTCCTTTCTCAAAAAAGTTTAAATGCCACCAATGAACTATTATTTTTTCAGTAGTGTCGAATTTACATTGTTCAGGTTTCCCGTTTAAGGTGAGACTTGCGCCCAAGTCATGTGTAATCTTTTATCAACTAAATACGTCATTAATCTAATTCCTCTAATCTTAAGCCTTCACTTTCATCCGTTTATCAAAATCCACTTTTTTGAATGACGGTTGTACATTCTTCAAAATTTTTATTATTAACACAATTCCAAGTACCACGACTGTTGAACTAAATAATAAATTTGTTAACAATTACTTCATTCTTGGACTTATGCTGTTTTTCTTTGTCCGAATCCAGTGACAGACTGTTTCCGCAGGGATTATCCATGTAAAACAATACACCTTTCTGGAAAGCTTTCGTTCTCGGATCCTTTTCGAATTTTTTTGAAATTACAGTTTTCAGGCCAGCGCTTATTGAAAATTATAGTTTTCTTTCTACAAGTTTGTACTTGGAGGATCTACGCCTCCCTAACACATAAATAAATTTAAAGAAAAACTTAATTGTCAAAATTTTGTAATGAAATTATTATCGTAATTTGGAGATTACAAATTCAAAAATTTACGAACAAGGCACACACACTTGAAATTTCAGAATAAATAAATACATACAATACTTACAGTATCTGTACGTAAAGTGAGTTCAGGCTAATTCCTAATAAATCTTTTTATCGTTTACGTTAAGATTATTGCTGGCTTAGCCTCCTCAAAACAATATATTTAACTACTTAGAACTAGATCGATCTGTGCAATTATCTCTTTTTTACTAATTTACGATGTACGTTTCTGAAACATTTACGCTCATCTTTACGGCATAACTCATAGGGAATAAAACGTATTGCGCACATTCAGTGCACTTTTTAGAATCAGTAGATTGTAAATTCAAGTTAAACATCAAGCTGAAAGGACACGTATATCAACTTGGATAGATTCATTGTAATACTAATGATAAAAGTACTGTATTCCCAAATTTTCGAGAAATGGAGTGAGTCATTTTGAATCTTGGTTGATAAAATAACGAAACAGTTTAATCAGGTCTGCCATGTGTAGTAGCAGAGGTGCCACTGAACTGAAAAACATTTATAACTACTCGTAATTTAAGACAATTAGCGATAACACTTGTCGAGATTGTACACGTTAGAGTGAAACAGAGAAACTAAACTAAACGATATTTTCTACAACTCTCTGCTTCGACTTCCTCAACATACATTAATATCCACACGCGTGCTGGCCAATCACAACAAAACACATTCAAACTGACTTTGAAACAATGATACAACACAAAAATTTTAAAATGAAAAATCCAAAAATTTCAAAATGAAAATCGAAAAACTAAAAAATCGGGCCACTGAAAAATTGTAAAAACATGGAAAAATTAAAAATAAAGCTGCAAAATCGGATAATTAAAATATTGGAAAAACGAAAAAATAAAAAAACCAAAAATTGAAACATCAAAAAGTCGAAAAACGAAACAATTTTGCAATTTTTCAATTTTAGAGTTTTCAAGTTCTTGATTTTTAATTTTGTAATTGTTCAACAAAAAAGTCTAATAACTGTAACACCGAAACATTAAAAAATGCATCAATTAAAAATCGAGAAATTGAAAAAAACAACAAAAAGAAACAATTTTGCAGTTTTTTGATATAAAATTTTTCAAATTCTCAATTTTGAATTCTTTATTTTCTAGATTTTTCATTTTTTAATTGTTCAATAAAAGGACAAATTTATTCAAACCAAAATTTTGACAAATTTAAAAACTTAAAATTCAAAATTGTCACATTGAAACGTCTGAAAGTTATAAAATTGTAAAATCAAAAAATTTAAAAATTGAAAAGTCGAAGAATTGATAAAATAAAGAAAAATTGAAAAAACCGAAAAAATGAGAGTCAAAAATTGAAAAGTGAAACTTGAAAGATCGAAAAATTTTAAAATTGAAAAACCGAAAAATGAAAAAAATGAGAAATTAAACAAGTGGATAATTGAAAAAACAATTGAAAAATCGAAAAACTGTAATATAGAACCCTGAAAACCCTGATTAATTAAAAATCGAGAAATTGAAAAATTGAAAAAACGAAAAACAAAAATTTCTGTAAATTAAATAATCAAAAATTAAAAATATAAATTTCAAAATCCAAAGATGAAACTTGAAATATCGAAAAATTGAATTTGATAATTGAAAAATCGAAAAATTGTAATATTGAAACCTGAAAACCCTGATTAATTAAAAAACGAGAAATTGAAACATCCACAAAACGAAGCAATTCTGCAATTTTTCAATATTAAATTTTTCAAATTCTCGATATTTAATTTTTCATTTTCTCGTTTTTTCATTTTTTAATTGTTCAACAAAGGACAAATTTATTCAAACTGAACTTTTGAAAAACCGGAAAATTGTAACACCAAAACATCAAAAACCAAACAATTAAAAATCGAGAAATTGAAAAATCGGCAAAACGAAACAATTCTGCAATTTTTCGATATAAACTTTTTCAAATTCTCGATTTTTCATTTTTTAATTGTTGAACAAAAGCACAAATTTATTCAAACTGAACTTTTGAAAAACCGAGAAATTGTAACACTGAAACATCAAAAAACAAAATAATTAAAAATCGAGAAATTGAAAAAATCAACAACAAGAAACAATTTTGCAGTTTTTTGATATCAAATTTTTCAAATTCCCAATTTTGAATTCCTTATTTTCTCGATTTTTAATTTCCTAATTGTTCAACAAAAGGACAAATTTATTCAAATCGAAATTTTGAGAAATTTACAAGTTTAAAAATCGAAAAGCCTAAGAATTGAAAAAATAAAGAAAAATTGAAAAAACCGAAAAAATGAGAGTCAAAAATTGAAAAATTAAACTTAAAAGATCGAAAATTTTTAAAATTTTTTGAAAAAATCGACAAAAAGAAACAATTTTGCAGTTTTTCGATATAAAATTTTTCAAATTCTCAATTTTTAATCCTTTATTTTTTCGATTTTTCATTTTTTAATTGTTCAACAAAAGGACAAATTTATTCAAACCAAAATTTTGAAAAATTTAAAAATTTAAAAATCAAAAAATTGTAACATTGAGACCTCTAAAAATTATAAAATTGTAAAATTGAGAAGTCGAAGAATTGAAAAAATAAAAAAAAAGAGTTAAAAATTAAAAAATGAAACTTGAAAGATCGACAAATTTTTAAATTGAAAAACCGAAAAGTTAAAAAAATGAGAAATTAAACAAGTGGATAATTGAAAAAACAATTGAAAAATCGAAAAAACGCAATATAGAAACCTGAAAACCCTGATTAATTAAAAATCGAGAAATTGAAAAATTGAAAAAACGTAAAACAAAATTTTCTGTAAATTCAATAATCAAAAATCTAAAAATAATTAATTTCAAAATCCAAAGGTTTTAAAATGAAATATCGAAAAATTATATTATTGACAGCTGAAAATCCTATTTTTCGATATCAAATTTTTCAAATTCTCGATTTTTATTTCTTCATTTTCTCGATTTGTCATTTTTTAATTGTTCAACAAAAGGATAAATTTATTCAAACCGAGATTTTAAATTGATTTGAAAAATAAAAAAATTGAGAAATCGAAGAATTGAAAAAATTATGAAAACTTCAAAAAAGCGAAAAAATTAAATAAAAAAAATATATCGAAAAATTTAAAAATTGAGAAATCCAAAATGAAAAAATTTAGAAGTTGAACAATGGGATAATTGAAAAAACAATTGAAAAATCGAAAAATTGTAATCTTGAAACCTGAAAACCCTGATTAATTAAAAATCGAGAAAGTGAAAAATTGAAAAAACGAAAAACAAAAACTTCTATAAATTAAATAATCAAAAATACAAAAAAAAAAATTAATTTCAAAATCCAAACATTTAAAATGAAAACCGGAAAACTAAAAAATTGTAAAAACGAAACATTTAAAAGTTAAGAAACGGAAGAATTGAAAAAATACAGAAACTGAAAAATCGTATAATGGAAAAGCCAAGAAATGTACAATTGAATAATAAAAAATCGAAAAAATGAAAAATTGTAAAATACAACAGATAGAAAATCGAAAAACTAAAAAATGGAGAAATCGAAAAATGTAAAAACAAAACACGGAAAATCGAAGAATTATCAATTAAAAAAAAACGAAAAATATAAAAATCTCGAATTGAGAAATCAAAAAATCGACGAAAGAAAATAATTTAGATTTACCTACTTGGAAGTAATTTATTTTTAGTTTTTCATTTTCTCATTTTTTGTTTTTTAATTTTTTAACAAAAGGACAAATTTATTAAAATTTAAATTTTAGAAAATCAAAAAATCGGAAAATTGTAACACTGAAACATCGGAAAATTGTAAAACTGGACAATTGAAAAATTAAAAAATTAAAAAACTGAAGAATCGAAAAAGAAAAATCGAACAATTTAAAAATTGAGAAATCGAAGAACTCCAAAAATAAAGAAACTGAAAATCGAATAATTAAGACAATTGGAAAAGGAAAAATTCCAACCTCAAAAATAGAAAAAACGAATCTTGAAACACGAAGAAATTTAAAAATTGTAATCTTAAAACTTGGGAAACTGAAAACTTGAAAAATTGAAAAAAAAAGAAACTGTAAAATAAAAAAACTGATTAATTAAAAATCCAGAAATAGAAAAATACGGAAAACAGAATTTTCTAGAAATAGAAAAATTAAAATATCTAGACATTAAAATCGAAAAATACATAAAATCCAAATTGAAAAACCCAAAAATGTCAAAATAATCACCGAAAAACTGTAAAATTAAAAAATCGAAAACAAAAAATTGAAAAAAAACAACGAAACATTGAACAATAAAAAAATTGAATACCGAAATGTTGAAAAAATAGCGAAATTAAAAAATCGGATAACGAAAAAATCAACAATTGAAAAATCAAAAAATAAAAATATCCTAAAATGAAAAAAATCGAAAAAATGAGAAACAGTCAAAACTAAAAATTGAAACCTGAAAAAACTGACGAAATAAATATCGAGAAACTGAAAAAAAAATTTAAAAATGCAAGAACTCCAAAATAAAAATCGAAAAATTGAGAAATCCTAAAATCGAAAAGCTAAAAATCTTAAAAACTTCAAAAATCGATGCGAATAAAAAAAATTCTGAGACTACACAGATGAAAGCAACAATATTCGACTTTGGGCCAGTTTGAATTTAGCGCCGATGTACTTCCTCGACGTTTCATGACCTCTAGTATACGAAAAAATAGGTCCCTCGTTTCTGTCTATTTCTGTCTATCTGTCTGCCGTCTGTCCGCGTCATGTCGATTTAATCTTCTAAACTAGATGATAAAATGCTGACCAAAATTTGTGTGTCACCCCCACCACCAATGCGATGACGTCAAGAAAAGCCGAGGACAAAAAATTATCTTCGAAATAAATTTTAAAGAGATTACGACAATGTTTAACGTTATCAGAAAATGATATAATAAAATTTACTACTGTCATCAAATATGATCTATTATACATTAATTTGATGGAAGATATATAAAGAACTTAGGGCACCCTAATCCAATAACTATCATGCGTTCGATTATTGTTCTTGTTTATACCTTATTTTTGTTTTCTCGGGTTGCTTGTATTACAGAAGATGTCTACAACTATTTTATCCATGAAGTTATTGCTTCAGAAAAAATCAGGGAAAAAATTCGGAGCAGCCTCCCAGATACAGAGGAGGGCAGAAGTGTTGCCTTAACAAGTAAGTGATAAACCACGAATATAAATTTTATTGCTTCGCTCGTTTAGTGTATGACGCGTCAACGAAAATTCCGAATGGTCTTGTTGGTGGAAACTACTTTGACTTGGGACATTTTGATGAATGTTATGGGATTCAGTACGGTGACATCTATGGAAAGTACTGTCTTGGAGCTTTTCCTTTTAATCAAATGCCTGTATCTCTCAGAGATCCTAGTGTTAATACAACGATAGACAGATCTGTAAGTTTTTGTACGATATTTAGTTGTTCGATAAAAACGGATAAAATCAGCCTAGGATATTGGAAGACTTTGGAGACCCATATACGGGTTACCATTTTGCAGTATGCGTACCAAGCAATTGGTCTGTGACTGATATTCCTGGTTCGTTGATATATGGAGAGGAATTTTGTTACTCTAAAGCTACAGAAAAGGAATTATCGACGGGAGCGATAGTCACTATAGTTGTTCTGGGAATTTTTCTAGTGTTGGTTGTTGCCTCTACAGCATTTGACCTCTTCCTCTACTATACGAAAAGAGGTGAAACATCAACCATGAATTAAAGCACCTATAAAACTCATATATGGTTACAGAATCTCCACACGAATTGTTTATAGCATTCTCGTTCTTTTCAAATGGTAAAAAATTATTACGTTCTACAAAAAATCCAGATCAACTTTTATGTCTAAATGGGATTAAATCGATTAGCATGATGTGGATTGTCATTGGACATTCGTATTCCGGCATGAGAAACTCTCCCTTATCAAATTTTGCTGAACTACGAAAGGTTTAACTACGCACAGTAGACTAGTATCGCCGAACAGAAAAAGTTTTCAATAAGTTCTCCGACTTTTGTGTGATCACTGCAACCGTTCGGCGATTTTAGTATGAATTGTGTATTTAATTTAACTAACTTTATGATTGCAGTGGATGCAAAATGCTGCAAACATGTATATGATGGGAGCAACAATTGCAGTTGATAGTTTTTTTGTAGCTGCTGGACTTGTTGCAGTTTATACATTCTTGAAATCTAGAGACAAAGGAGTAAAATTTAATATTATTTTGTACTACATTCATCGATACCTTAGGTTAACACCTGTTTTAATAATCCTTGTTCTGGTTCACCTTTTCTTGCTAGATTATTTTGGTAACGGTCCCTTATGGAGAGTTGTAGATATCACGTTAGTTCAAGTTTGTGAAGAAGCCTGGTGGAGCACCATTCTCTATATTACGAACTTTGTTCAAAGTGGTTCTGTAAGTTACACTATCACATTGCTTCTTATTTTATAAAAAAAAAAAAATTGTAGTGTATACCGCAAACATGGTATCTTACTGTCGACATGCAACTTTTCATCCTGTCTCCTATTGTTTTAATACCCTTAGCGAAATGGCCTAAAGTAGGTTTAGGGATCTTAGGAGTTCTAGTAGCATTAGGATCTTTTATACCATTTATTTTACGCTTTACTTATGGTACTGAAGACACGGGGCTGACTTCAACGTAAGAAACATCACTGGATTTCCTCAAACAGAAACTAAAACTGTGGTTCTAGGGAAGCTTTTAGATATGTGTTTTATTATCAATCGTACACGAGGTTTGGACCCTACGTTATAGGCATGACTTTAGGTTACTTTATATATAAAATGAAGAAGAATGCTGTAAAAAGAAAACTACAATGGGTAAGTATTTATATTTTGATTAATAAAAATTATTCATACCGTTTTAGCCAATTGTTTTGATTTTATGGTTGTTTTTCTTAAGTATTCTGGTTGCTTGTCTTTATGCAGGCTATTGGGATGTAAATCTATCATCAGCGGACGACAAATGGGGCAATTCTTTGTTTCTGGCTTTCGATAGGCAAGGATGGGCAGTAGGTGTTGCTGGAGTTATCTTTTTGTGTGTTGCTGGATACGGTGGACCCATCGACTGGTTTCTATCATTACCAATTTTCCAGTTTTTTACGAAAGTGTCTTATTCGGTATACTTAGTACATCAGACCATTATCTTTTGTAGATATGCTGCCATGAGAAGTCTTTTTCAATTTTCGGACAGTGCCGTAGTAAGTTTTTGAAAAAATAAAGTAAACGAAATCACATACATACATACATAGATCAAGTGTGTCCAGTTGGTTATTTATTATTATTTTTTAGATGCATGCTTTCTGGGGTGACTTTATGTTTACACTGGCGTTGTCTATAATATTGTGGTTGACATTTGAATCTCCTGTTCCTGTATTAGAGAAATATTTATTTGGATCTTGTTCTCGCAAACAAAAACAAAATGTGAAACAGTCTAAAGCGTAATGATGTAATCATGCAAAAAGGTAAAAAATGTTTGAGTTTATATGTTAACTTATCTTAGTAATAAAATAAAGTGTAGCATATGTTTTTAGGTCTGCATTTTATTACTCAATTCGTTAATCCAGCCTACACAGTGATACTAAGAGTTGCCAAAATGGCAGCCTCATTTTTTTTTAAGAAAATAGCGCAATATTCCAACTGTATAAGCAAATCTAAAAAAATATTAATTCATTATATTTTTCACATTTAAGACAGGATTTATTTGGCAAAATTGTGAGATGGCGTCATCAACTTTTTGGGGGGGATAAGCAAATATATTTTGATTAAAAACCTACAACGCTTATGATAACTTGAAAAGATCCGCAAATTTCAAAATATTTGGTTTTGCAGACTCAAAATTGAATTGCAAAATGTTATATTATTTTATTTTTTTTCCAAAAACCTAGAGTTTTCGGGTAAAAACTCAACACGGATTCATAAACTACGCATAGAGGACTAAATATGTTATTTTAACAATTTAAAACCCATTTACTGTGTACAGTTTTGAGGTAACATCATCACATTGTTGGTGAGGATGATTAGACAAAAATTTGGTTAGCCTTTCTACCATCCACATGATATTTATAATACTGTGATAACCCAAACATTCCACCTTAGATTGACATATGAAAAAAATGAAACCCCGCGAAAAATTCAAAAATTCAAAATTTGGCTTTGGCTGTGATCATCTAACAAAATGGAATCCTACATTTTGTTATTGAAAAATGGCGGGATGCATTCAAAGGCAAGTGGTGGACTCCAAGGTTGGAAAAGTACCGCAAAATAAAACACCAAATTTATGGAGGACACAAAATTATTTATCCCTCCACTGACAAAAAAAAAGAAAAAAAAACTGCGAGCGAGGGTGATCCCAATGGGGGCCGGACAGAAATCGCTTCTCAGCTTAAAAAAAAAACAAAAACTTTGAATGACTTGGAATGAAATCAAATTAAACATTCTGAATCAATGCAAATATTTGAATATCATAAATTTAATAAAAACAAAGCAAAATCTGAAGTAAAGTAACTGGATGCAAATACACAAGTTATTACAGACGTGTGACGTTAAATTTAAAATGATGGCACTCAACAAGAGAACAAAATTTTTAATAAAAAACTATGCAGCGGCAGCGGCACCAGAGCGCTATAAGAGGATGGCGATCGAACTATGTCAATTTCATTCTAGAACCCAGCAAAAATACCCATAGGGGTCGTTTGGGGCTCTTGGCCGTGGCTGTTTTTCCACTGCAACGGTGATTCTATTCTATCGGCGAGCCTACCGCACAGCACCCCAATGACGAACATGCCGTGCTACCCAGGGGGTCGATTCTCGAACTCGTTCGAATAAGTTCCGCATACGCAAGTGACCAACTTTCGAGCGGTTTTGAAGATTCGGTATTCGCGAACCGTGCGCACACGTTGGTATACGCAAATGTTCGAGCGTATACGAACGTCAAGTTACGAGTGGGTAGATGCGATCGCATTTTGGTTTGCGAGTGGTGAAAGCTAACCTAAAACTCTGTTTGGTTTTGGTCGTTCTGTGTTAACGTCAATATAATATCTTTAAACCTGGTTTACAGAACCTCAATTAAATATTTAATTGCGATTTAATTTTTAACTCCGCGTTAAAGTACCATGTGACCGACTCTACGCCAATCAGACGTCGCTAATGGCCTTGTTAAATGCGCGATCAACTTAATCTCAGTTAAAATATTGTATAAACTGGCCCTTAATCTGCTATTTCTGTTAATATACATTAATAGAAAGGGTTACCATTCCAAAAATACACAAATTGTAATGTATCAATTTGATTGTGGGAATTTTATAATTTCATTTACAATTTTGACATTTGTGATGCAAATTTAAAAATTTTAAATTGAAACAGCCGATTTCTGTGTAGTACATATAATAGCTACATAAGTATGAAGAAACAACGCACTATTGCGATATTTTGGGTATTTTCTAATAATACATTAACACATTCTTATTATGGTTGTAACAATAATTTTTAGGTGACTGGCTAGCCACTGCGAACATTTCAAATACGGATACGTGCAGTTGTTTCAAAAATAAAAACTAAAATGACTTCTGAAAGATCATTTACTGTACAAAACGGTTGTAATAGTATGCATAAGTATACCTGAATAAACATCGGGTAACCAAACCCTAAGAATTTTCTATAAACTAGGAGAGTACACACAGTAATAAAGGTATTAATATGCAAATACCTGCTGGCTGTGGAGGTCCCACTCAAAAATAAACATTAAGTTTGTATCTGCATCATTGTAAAAAAATCACAAGAATTTGTATTAAATGTTGGAGCGACACCTAGTGTCGGCCGTGCGAGGCTTGCTCGTGTAGTCGCCTTCACGAGATGGCTATATTGCGCAGAGCGACACAGCGCCACTTGAAGACGCCATATTTTTAGACACTTCTGGTACGACCGTCCGCGTGGCTATCAGCCCGACCATGTTACGCTCGTCGAATATTCTCTTGTAATGTGCCACAATGTAATATACGTTAGTAACCGATTCCGTGGTGTTTTTATTTCCGCCAACATTAAATACGTAGGGTTGCATAAAATCGTAAAATTAACAATTTTTTTTTGATCACGATATTTTTGTTTTTTTAGTCTGTCAATTATTTGGAATTAAAATCCTGATTAAAATAGTAAGTATCCGACTTAATGTCATCCTTGAGTCGTACTTCTTAGTTTCGAACAATAAAGAGAATTTATTGTAATTTATATTGCAAAAAAGGATAATCTTTAAAATACAGTTTAAAAGAATCATCGTTCCATTTTGTTGGAAATATTGTATTTTAGTTAAAGTTCAACTTATTTTGATATAAATTTGCATTAAAAGGGCCGTAATATGCATATCATATTCCAAACTGTAAAGAAAACTTAAAAAAAAAACAATAATACTTCAAAACAATAATTTAAATCGAGCCAATCCTGTTAATACGTGTTTTGCTGCTTAATAAATTTGGAGGTAACAGATTAAAATAATCCTTCTTGGATTCAAACTCACCCCGCGTGAGTTCTGCCAACCATCGCATTTAAATATCCTCTGTATTTTGCCGCTGTTGCCATATCCTCGCTCGAACAGAGGCCTTCGTATGCGCATCGAGTTGCTATTCGCATTGGATCTCGTTCAAGAAGACGGATTTTCGTTTCGAATAGCATCTTGGCATGCGCATCTATTCGTATTCGCATCTTTGCGAACGAATTCGAGAATCGACGCCCAGGCCGTTACGGTCGAAAACTCGTGGGTTCTATACAAAGCCTGCATCCTTTGTGCAGATGGCGTGATAAATCTCGCCCGCCCGACTAGGAACCGCGCCCTCTGCTTCTGCCACTTATTTCGGTGGTATTTAAACTCAATTCCATTTCTGTGACTCTGATATGTATTAAACTACTCTTGGACAAGTGTCAAAGTTTCAAAAAGGCAATAAACCACATTTAAATTCGCCATACTAACTTGTGAAAGTTTAAACAACAAATAATTCTTATTTGAGATTAAGATTGGATATCAGATAATTTATATGATGGAAACATTCATTAGCAATATATTCACATAAAAAACTAGCAGAGATTTATAAAAACAAAAGATCTGGTGTGAAATAAACTTGTGCAAATAAAAATATTACGTGAGGTTAAAACTGCAAAGCACGGAAATTTACGTTCAATTTAAATTATACAACAAAGAAATATTGTATGAGGTGAACATTGCAAAGCTAACAAATTTATATGAGATTAATATTTGCCACACTTTATCAACGATTCAAACAAAGAGTTTACAATATGTTCAATTATGCTACACTTTATCAACGATTCAAACAAAGAATTTATATGATGTTACATTATGCCATGATCCAAGTGATTAGTTACTTAAAACAATTCGTTTTGAGGGTTAATATCGTGAACTGTTTATCCCAAACAAAACACATAATAAATAAACACAAAATGTATCAAGCGTTGCGAGGAAAGCTTCTCGGTGATGCAATTTTTAGCGTTGCGAGAAAGTTATCTCGGTGATATAGCTGTGCACGTTGCGAAAGAAATATCTCGGTGATGTGATGATGATACGATGATACTAACGATGATAACTAAGATAAAGAGAGAAATCCTTAATCCCCCCGTCCTACAGTCCACGATATTATGAATTTTACAGTCTTTTTCCACAGTGAAGCAACATTAGGTTCATTTAACTGCCGTAAATGAACTGTTAGCAATCTTGTGTGAAGAATTAAGAAGTGTTATAATGTAACACTTACGTATTAGCATCCAGAAACGTTATTCGTAATTTGGTAAACAAAAAAAAATCTCGCAAAATTTGTATCACACCTAAGGCTAGACAACCCGTTGGAAAGCTGTAGATTACAGTTTCGATCTTGTTGGATCTCATCAGTACAGCATATTCCATCGAGTTGTCTAGCATTCGTTGTGTTTCACATGTTAGTGAGATGCAAGTGTGGCGACCTATGTGTTTCCCCACTGTGCCGAAAGATTATTATAATTACATTTATTTGTAAGAATTTATGCTGTGAGTCTTCAACCGGTTACAATAATCCAATTTTATGGTGAATTTGTCATTGGATTTGTAAAATCGAAACCGAAGTGGTCATTGATGATCATTGATCACCAAAAATGAAGATTATTCTCTTATTAACTGATAAGTATTAATAAAACGAGCACGTGTTGATTTGTGTTTATTAAGCCGCTCACAAATTCATGTCTTACCTATTCGACTGTCTGTCTCGAAGAGGACGAGAGGACGAGTCCTTGCAAGAAACATCAGTACCTCCGCTATGCGCAGTCGCATTCCATAACATCTTATTATTAACCTACTTCCTACTTAACCTACTGTACACATTTCTATCTCATCTATGCTGTACACTTAATCTACGCCTTAATTAATACATTACATTAACAAAAATGACTTAAATGTCGGATTGAATCCCCGTTCTTCTATAATATTTG